TGAGTTGTGGTGCTGGCAAAGAATGCTGAAAGTACCATGGACTGCTAAAAGAACTAACAGATCTGTCCTGGAGGAAGTGCAGCCAGAATGCTCTTTGGAAGGGAGAATGACCAGACTTTGTCTCACCTATTTTGGTCATGTTGTCAGAAGGGACCATTCCTTGGAGAAGGATGTCATGCTTGGTAGGGTGGAGCATCAACGAAAGAGGGGGAGGCCTTCAACAAGATGGAATGACATGGTGGCTGCGATGATGGGCTCAAGTATAGAAGGGATAGTGGAGCTGGTGCGGGATCGGGCAGTGTTTCGTTCTGCTGTGCATGGGGTCGCTATGAGTCAGAAATGACTCGATGGCATCTAACAACAACAACAGGTCAATGGAGCCCAGTGGAAGAGTTCTCGATGCAAGAGTGAATGTAGCTGGAGAATCAAGTCCCTGGGTAGTGCAAAGAGTTAAGTGCTGAGATACTAAACAAAAGGGTGGTGGTTCAAACCCACCCAGAGGTGCCTTGGAAAAAAGACCTGGTGACCTGCCCCAAAAGGTCACAGCCATCAAAATCCCATGAATGGCAGGTCTACCTTAAGACACATGGGGTTGCTATGAGTCAGAATCAACCTGAAAGCAATTGGTAGCTGGAAAAAGGGGAAAGCCAAAAAGTGTAACAATCCAGTCATGAGAAGACATTAGCTTGGGCTAGTATGGAAAGTATGGAACTAGTGAGAAGTGGTTGGATGCTCCAACACTGAGAGGTTAGAGAGAAAAGGAGGATCAATAAAGAAAATGAAAAAAGGAGATAAAGAAGGTAGAAGGACTGAGTGATCAACTATAACAAATGTTGTTAACGAGTTAAATAAGATGGAAGATGAGAACTCATTACCTTGAGAAGAGCAATTAAAGCACAAGAGTGGAGATTCACTAGGGTGAATTCTTGAATGAATGAGAGAAGTAGATTTTAACAACTGTGTTTAAGGAATTTTTTAAAATGGACCAGTAAATGAAGGAAGCAGTCAAGGAAGGGTTTTATGTTGCTATATCACAGCATGAAGGAAGATTAGGCAATCTACTTCTGTAGCGATATTGCCTCAGAAACTCAAGGAGGGATCACTATGAGTTGGATCCGACTCAGCAACAGTGAGTTTGGTTTTTTGGTTTTACAGGCTGTGCAAAAGATCCAGAAGACAGAGAAAACTGATAATGCAAGAGAAAAAGGGGACACTTCCTGGCCTAATATCATCAACTAAAGCAAAAGGGATGGATTCTAGTACAAGAGAGAAGCATAGAGAGTTCTAGACCAAAATGAAAAACCAAACCCATTGTCCAATTCTGACTAACAGAAAATCTATAGGATTGAATAGAACTGCTCCATAGGGTTTCCAAGGCTGCAAAAGACCTCTTTTAAACTGTTGAAGAGCAAAAGTGTTTCCTTGAAGACTAAGGCTTGCCTAATCCAAGCCATGGTATTTTCAATCATCTCATATACATGTGAAAGCTGGACAATGAATAAGGAAGACCAAAGAAGAGTTGATGCTTTTCAGTTGTGGTGCTGGCAAAGAATACTGAAAGTACTATGGATTGCGAGATGAATGAACAAATCTGTCCTGGAAGAAGTGCAGCTGGAAAGCTCCTTGGAAGCAAGAATGGGCAGACTTCATCTCACCTACTTTGGTCATGTTGTCAGAAGGGACCATTCCCTGGAGAAAGATATCATGCTAGGTAAAGTAGAGGGTCAGTGAAAAAGGAGAAGGTCCTCAATGAGATGGATTGACACAGTGGGTGCAACGATAGGCTCAAGTACAGCAAGAATTATGAGGCTGGCACAGGATGAGACAGTGTTTCATTCTGTTGTACGTAGGGTTGCTATGAGTAGGAGCCCACTTGACAGCACTTAACAACAACAACAACAACAACAACAACAAATCTTTATGGAAGCAGACTGCCTCATCTTTCTCCCACAGAGTGGCTAGTGGGTTTGAACCAATGACTTTTTGGTTAGCAGCCAAATACTTTAACCACCACTCCATCAAAGCTCCTTGTTTTGGTAGAAAGGTGGCCTTAAAAAGGAAAGAACACAGTTAGTTATATGGCTATAGTTTATGGTATATAGTTCATACTTACAATGCTGAGAAAATGTGGAAATCTCTTCTGTTGCTTCCATTTTCTCAGTGAAGTATGAAGTAGTCACCAGTTAGGAGTGAGTGGGGGAGGGGAAGGGTAAAGGAAGTAGTATCCCACAGTTGAGTGAATGGACTGGGGAAACAGAGGCAGACATGTCAGGCCCACGGATGGGTTATGGTTGTGTGCCACTGAGTTGATTCTGACACAAAGTGACCCTATAGGACAGAGTAGAACTGCCACGTTGTATTCTTTACAGAAGCAGACTGCCACATCTTTCTCCTGTAGAGTGGCTGGTGAGTTTGAACCACTGACCCTTAGCAGCTGAGCACTTAACCACTGCAACACCAGGGCTCCTTGGCCCACAGGGTAATGGTTATGAATAAAAATAAGGTTACCAGTGCCATCATAAGGAGCTCTGGTAGTGTGGTTAAGGCATTTGGCTGCTAACCAAAAATCGATGGTTCGAACCCACCAGCTACTCTGCAGAAGAAGGAAGAGGTGGTCTGCTTCCATAAAGATTTACAATCTTGGGAACACAACAGTGGTCGCTATGAGTTGTTATCCACAGGATGGCAGTGAGCTTGGTTTTGGTTTAGTGCCACCATGCTCTTTTTCAACCAGGTTTGGCAGCTCAGGTGCAGGTCACAGTTGGCAGACAATTTAGATGCAGTTAATACTAGTATATTTATTACAAGAAGGCCTGAGAAAAAGATCATGAGGTATATGTTTCAATGTAGGTTTATATCTATGTTGTGTTGTTGTTATTTGCCATCGAGTTGGACCCGACTCATAGCGACCCCTCCTTGGGTGTCGAGGCAGTATCACTACAGAAGTAGATTGCCCAACCTTCCTTCTGAGGAGTAGCTGGTGGGTTTGAACCGCCAGCCTTCTGGTTAGCAGTCAAGTGCCTTAGGCACTATGCTACCAGAACTTCCTTATATCTATAGTGTTTCTAATTATAATTAATTAATTCAAAGCCCTGAAAGCAACTGGTATACCTGGGGCACTTAGGTTCGGTACTAGCGACTGGGGTCTATATCGGGGGATGTTTGTGCATCTTGCTTTTCCATGGCTAATGCTCTCAAGGATGGGTGTGAGCAGAGAAGTTTCAATTCTATTTCATATAGGTAAAAATACTCATACAATCATGTAGATTGAAATCACTCTATTTTTATTTTTAACAGATTCCATAAATATAAAAATTAAATGATAGAACATAAATAATCAAAAGAAATGTTCCTGTTTAAATATCCTCAATACTGTTCCTATATTTGGCAAACACGTTCCATTTTGTTATCAGTTATTTTATTTACATGTCTGTTTCAATGTTGTTTTAGAATTCCAGTTCCTTGATAAGGAGTTACATCTGTATTTAGGGAAACCCAGAGTTTCCTACAATACCCTACACTCAGGGGACATTAATCACTAATAGCTTCAATTTCACATAAAGTAATTTTTTTTTAATAAAATACCTCTGTTTCAGTTACTGGATTAGATTTTATTATTTGATTTCTGTTATATGCATAAAAATAGCTTCTTTATCACTTAGGCAAACATTAAAACACATTTACCATTTGAAAAATAGAAGTAACAAGTCACATACTCAAATACAGGCATTAATTGGTTTGTAGATGAGAAAATGTAGGTACCTTATATCTATCACCCAATACTCACCCATAGTAATAAATGGAAGATGGGAAGCTTGATCATAAAATTCAGATGTTAAAGTATACTGCTAAAATTGATTGTTGTTGTTGTTATTTGCCATCGAGTCAGCCCCGACTCATAGCAACCCCTCCTTGGGTTTCCGAGGCAGTATCACTAGGGAAGTAGGATTGCCCAACCTTCCTTCCATTGGGAAGAAAACTTATCATTCATATACATATATATAAGGAGCTCTGGTGGCATAGTGCCTAAGGCATTTGGCTGCTAACCAGAATGTCAACAGTTCAAACCCACCAGCTCCACAGGAAAAAAGTGAGACAATCTATTTCCATAAAGATTTATAGCCTTGGAAACCCAATGGGATCACTATGAGTTGGAATTGACTTAATGGCAGTGGATACATATATATGGACAGATAGATAGATGTATAGATATATAGATATTTTTATACATGCATATTACATATATAATATATGCATCATATTATATACAATATATTCTATTTTATATAATATGATGCATATATTATATATAATATATAATAGCATATATATATATATATATATATATATATATATAATCATGTATACAATGTGATATATAGGGTACACACTAATGTGCTCATCCAAAATGAAAACCTAGAAAAATTGGAAAAACCCTGACAAAAATCTAAATATTAAACTTATTGCTAAAAGTCACTTAAAATCCATTAAATTAAAAAGAGGAAATTGTTTCGAAATATTCTCCTTTACTTTTCTCTATTTTGCATTTCCTATAAACAGATTTCTCCTGAAACATAAAATACATTAATTTTGCAGATCAAAATTACTGTATAATAGCACCAAGGTTTGACATAGGGGGATTTGAATCTCATATACCTACTCCTCACTTATTGACTATCTCATTATTTGACAACTCACATTTATGACAAGAGTGAAAAGTCTACTATGTCACTATTTTGCACATGAACAATGTACTTCTGGAAGTAATGAATGACAAAGTGAAAGGCAAAGATGATTAAGGCTGTGATGATTAAGGTTATGTGACAACTTGATTTTCACTGGTTTGGCAATTAGGTAAAGATGTGGTCATCCTCCATTTTGTGATCCGATGTGGTCATTCTCCATTCCCATATAATGTTGATTTTTGTATAACAACCTGGTCTTTGAGCCTAACCATGCCAGTAAGTGAGGAGTGGGTGTAATTTCCTTAGTCCTATGCTATGCAACTCAAACCAACAACAAAAACCATAAGTGTTTTATATGGACAGCTATAATTTCTCAGGGACCTCTGGTGGTGTAGTGCCTAAGGCACTTGACTGCTAACCAGAAGGCTGGCAGTTCTGACCTACCAGCCACTCCTTGGAAGGAAGGTTGGGCAATCTACTTCCTTAGAGATAGCACCTCAGAAACCCAAGGAGGGGTTGCTATGAGTTGGGGCTGACTCGCCGACACATAACAACAACAACAACAACAACAACAAACAAACAACAACAACAAGCATTTTATGCTCTGCTTCACCAAAGGTTGATGGTTGGAACTCACAAGTTGCTCCACAAGAGAAAGATGTGGCAGTCTACTTCCATAAATATAGCCTTGGAAACCCTATGGAACAATTTTATTCTGTCCTATTCAAGTGACTATGAGTCAGAATGGATAGCAGTGGGTTTTTGGGTATTTTAAATCTCTCATAGATACCTACAGAAGTATTTTACATATGAATAAAGTGGTGGTGAGAGATTAATTTGTCTCATGTCACTTAATAATAGTAGTTCAAAATTTCAGTCCAAGTCTGCCTAACTCTCTAATGGACATTTAGTAAATTACCATTTATTGCCTCTCCAACATTTGCAAGTTGCAATTAAGTCTAAATAGTTCTATCTACATGTAACCTTAGTTACCACCTTCCTGACATCCCCTCTTTTCCATTTCCACGACAACTGCTACAGTTTTGATTCCTGTTTTTCCTGACTTGGACTGTTAGAATCACCTCCCATCTATCTCCTTTAGCTCTCTTTGTCACTCCAATCATCCTCCACAATACTCATTTTCAAAAATACAATCTGCCAACAACACTCCCTGCTTAAAAAGCCTTCCTTAACTGCTATTGCTGTGGTGGTAGTTCTTAAAGTACAGTACCCACACCCCATGGAATAAAGAATAAGAATCCTTTATCTCTACTTATTTATTTTCTCTAAAAAATATAAAGAAATTATACTCTTCAGATATTTGAAATGAGGATTGATAGTATACCAATACACATATCTGTGTATGTATGTGTATATGTATTCATATATATATCAAACCCACTGCCATCAAGTGGATTCTGACTCATAGCAACCCCCATTGAGTGTCCAAGGTGGTAAATCTTTCTGGAAGTAGATTGCTGAATCTTCCTTCTGCGGAGTGGCTGGTAGATTTGAACCACCAACCTTCTAGTTAGCAGTGAGATGTGTTAGGCACTGTGCTATGTAAATGTGTGTGTGTGTGTGAAAAGATTTTACTAATATGATTCCTTGATTTAAAAATGTGACCAACGGTTTTCATGTGAAAAGTCCTTCACAACCTGACCTCAGATTATCTTTTCAGTCTTTCCTCCAGCCTGTCCAACATAATTAAACCAAACGTGATTATGTTTTTTCTTACTGTTCTGGCTGCCGAGTACTGCACTGACAGGAATATACCACAAATGGGATGGCTTGAACAAACAGGAGTTTATTCTTACAATTTAGAGGCTTTAAGTCAAAGTGTCTTCAAGTTCAAAGTGCCAGGCTCTAGGGGCTGTGTGAAAGCCCCTCAGCCTTGGACTTCAGCTCTGCCTCTTGCTCCTGGCTCACTGAAGCTAGAGGCATCTCTTCACTTAAGCAGCTACTGCCTGCTGAGGCTAACAAGCCCAAGGTCAACAAATAAAATGGCACAGTCCTGATCTTACCAGACCAAATGGCAGACCATTAATTCAAGTCCATTGTAAGTCTCAAGGTCGGCAGAGCCTGGCAGGCTGCTGAACAACGACACTGCTACATGCAGGGTCCAAGCATGCCGTAAACTAGAGACTGTCCCCAAAACTGCTATTTATGTACAGGAAGCAAACCACATCCCTAAAGCAGCTACCCAGCTGCTGGTGGTAGATCCCACCATGGAGTTGATTATGGTAATCAGTCTCGTGGTCATTAGTCTCATCATGGGGAATCACTACCACCAGCTGCCTAGCCACTCAACCAGGCCCGGCCAAGTTGACACACAAACTTAACCACCACACTTACCCTATGTTATTTCATACCTGTGTTTCTGTTCAAAATGCCCCCTCTGCCACATCTGCATGGTGAACACTTAGTTATCCTTCAAGACCCACTTCAAGCAGCACTGTTCCCATGAATCCCATCATTTCTCTACAGTACTCTATAAACCCATTGCTGTCAAGTCAAGATCCAATGTGTTACATAATAGAACTGCTCCACAGGGTTTTCTTGGTTATAATCTTTACAGAAGCAGATCACCAGGCCTTTCTTCTGCAATGTCTCTGAGTGGGTTTGAACCACCAACCTTTAAGTTAGTAGGTGAGCACAAACTATTTATGCCCTCTAGGGACCTTACTGTAGTCTGTATACCCCCTCTATTACAGCATGGAATTATCACATTTTTCATAGCAGGATACTTGACCATATCCTGATGCTGGACTGAGTTCCCTGGGAGCAGGAAGTATACTTATCTTCATATAGTAATGTATACATTTTAGGAACTGTTCTTTTTATATATATATATATATATTTTATATATATATATATATATATTTATATATATATATATATATAAAGTAAGTGAGAGATTTTGTCTGCTTAGTATTAAAAAATAGAGAAATAAAAGCAAAACTTACCTCCCCATTGTCTGTCCCAACCACAATTAATTTAAGGCAGCTGTTTTTGCCAACTGCTTTGGTTTTGGGAAGAGCAAGGTGACAGTGCTCAACACACCCCACTGTCCCCACCATCCCACTCCCACTTCAGAGAGCAGCTCAGGTACATACACAGCCCCACAACCACACACACACACACACACACACATCCATACA